TCTTCATCAGTATTTTTGTCTTGTTTTCCAGTGCAAATGTGTACATATTCTTAAATCAAGACACACTGAGAAAATGACTTAAGATAATATGTCTTATTTTCTGAGAAATTGGTCAAAATGAAGTGAATTTATGATCAAAACAAGACAAATATCTGCCACTAGGCTAAAAAAAATCAACTTAATTCAAAGGGAAGTTTTCAAACCCCATTGACAGATATTTTGTTCTAAGCATAAACTCACTTAATTAAAAAAAAAAAAATTCCCAGAAAACTGGACTTCAACTAACATAATTTTGCATCTCCAAGTAAATGTATTTTGTTTTAAGGATGTTTAAATGTGACCCTGGACCACAAAAGCAGTGTTAAGTCTCTGGGGGATATTTGTAGCAATAGCCAAATGCAAAATAGACCAGTTAATAGAGAGCAACATTTAAAAGGGAAAAGAAAGCATGGTTTGTCCTGAACACTGTTTTGTGCTGTGAATAGTAGGCTGCCAGGATGAAGATTATTTTAGTTCATTGAATGTATATTGCGCTGTGGCTGATGCTGCAGTTACATTGTTACACCTGCAGGTGTCGACAAATGACCGTCTTTATACATTTACATTTATTCATTCAGCAGCTTACACATGAGGACAATAGAAGCAATCAAAATCAACTGAAGAGCAACGATATGCAAGTGCTATAACACACTGCAAAAAATGCTTTTCTTAGATTTTTTCTAAAAAATTATTAAATCAGAAATGTAAAGTAAAAATTATTCTTGTTTTCAGAAAAAAATTGTTTTCTTGAAACAAGCAAAATAATATTGTTTTCTCTTTGAAATAAGATTTTTCCAAACCCCATTGACAGATATTTGTTCTAAGCATAAACTCACTTAATTAAAAAAAAAAAAATTCCCAGAAAACTGGACTTCAACTAACATAATTTTGCATCTCCAAGTAAATGTATTTTGTTTTAAGGATGTTTAAATGTGACCCTGGACCACAAAAGCAGTGTTATGTCTCTGGGGTATATTTGCAGCAATAGCCAAAAATACACTGAATGGGTCAAAATTATAGATTTTTCTTTTATGCCAAAAATCATTAGGATATTAAGTAAAGATCATGTTCCATGAAGATATTTTGTAAATGTCCTACAGTAAATATATCAAAACTTAATTTTTGATTAGTAATATGCATTGCTAAGTACTTCATTTTCGATTTTCTCAATATTTAGATTTTTTTGCACCCTCAGATTCCAGATTTTCAAAAAGTTGTATCTCCAAATATTGTCCTATCCTAACAAACCATACATCAATGGAAAGATTATTTATCCAGCTTTCAGATGATGTATAAATCTCAATTCCGAAAAATTGACCCTTATAACTGGTTTTGTGGTCCAGGGTCACAAATTTGTACTGGAAAACAAGACAAAAATACTGAGGAAGACCTTTTTTGCAGTGCATGCAACATTTAATGCCATAACTATGAATTTAAGACTTTCTGCTCCAATTTATGACCTTAATTTGTGGAAGGGAAAACTAACATAGACGGGCAAGACTGCGCTTTTAAAGTGCGCCGCCCAACGGCAGAATACAACTTCTGCATGTGAAAAGCCTTTTTATTATTATTTAGACGTTCATTAATTTGTCTTTTTCATACTAATATTTAAATTCTTTCACAATCATTTAATTGATTTAATCGAGACTTGTTACAGCACTTGCATATTATTGCTTTTTTGTTAGTTTTGATTGCTTCTATTGTCATCATTTGTAAGTCGCTTTGGATAAAAGCGTCTGCTAAATGACTAAATGTAAATGTAACATTTTTTAAGACCTGCAGAAACCCTGTAACATTAATTCCAATAATTCCTAATTACATTCATGTTTTTCACAGACTGGCTGTATTGCATTTTCATTTGAGCCAAATACATGTTTGCTGATATTTTTTGATTTTTGTATTCGTCATGGAAAAAAAAAGATTGTCATCTAATATTTTTTTGTCATAGTTTTCGTTAACGGAATGAACACTTCTCGTAACCTCATCAGAAACCTGTTTGAAGCAGGGAAACGAGGCTGGTTTTGCGTACCTTTGTGCAGGTTGACGAGCGGCTGCAGGATGCCCCTGCGGAAGGCAGCCATGGGGTCCTGCACACAGGAGCGCAGACTGAGCATGCTCTGCAGGTGCGGCTCTTTCAGCAGCAGCTCTCTGAATGCGCTCAGCTGATGCGCTCGGCACAGGAGAGCAGCCACGCTGTGCACAAACTCAGGAACCAGACACGTGTACGTGTTATCAGCCTGACAGTAATGATACGCCACCACCTGCAGAGAACCAGAGACAGAGAGACAGCCTTAGAAACTTCATATTCATCTGATTTACATTTAGAATCATGCAATATTTGCTGTTACTTATATACAATATAATTATATACAACATATATTGCCATATTTATTTATGCAATTGCTCTGAAATGGCTTTTTTAAAATCAGAGGAACAATTATTTCAAACAAACAGTCATTGTAGTCAAGTAGATTCAAAATGTTTAATGACTAACTAGAATACTGTAAAAACTAGTTAAAATAAACAATGCATGCTCTCCACAGTATTTCTAAAAAAAAAAGTTTTTTAAATTAAACAATACACTGTAAATACAGCTGACAACTGAGTATGAACATACTGACAAGAATATCTACAAATAAAAAAAAATGTATTAATATAATGTATTAAAATATATAATATAATATAACTGATGCACAACTTTACAAATATTAAAAGAAAACAAAGGGAACATCTTAAGTAAATTTAGATGAGTTAGTAATATGCATTGCTAAGTACTTCATTTTCGATTTTCTCAATATTTAGATTTTTTTGCACCCTCAGATTCCAGATTTTCAAAAAGTTGTATCTCCAAATATTGTCCTATCCTAACAAACCATACATCAATGGAAAGATTATTTATCCAGCTTTCAGATGATGTATAAATCTCAATTCCGAAAAATTGACCCTTATAACTGGTTTTGTGGTCCAGGGTCACAAATTTGTACTGGAAAACAAGACAAAAATACTGAGGAAGACCTTTTTTGCAGTGCATGCAACATTTAATGCCATAACTATGAATTTAAGACTTTCTGCTCCAATCTGCTCTTAATTTGTGGAAGGGAAAACTAACATAGACGGGCAAGACTTTGCGCTTTTAAAGTGCGCCGCCCAACGGCAGAATACAACTTCTGCATGTGAAAAGCCTTTTTATTATTATTTAGACGTTCATTAATTTGTCTTTTTCATACTAATATTTAAATTCTTTCACAATCATTTAATTGATTTAATCGAGACTTGTTACAGCACTTGCATATTATTGCTTTTTTGTTAGTTTTGATTGCTTCTATTGTCATCATTTGTAAGTCGCTTTGGATAAAAGCGTCTGCTAAATGACTAAATGTAAATGTAACATTTTTTAAGACCTGCAGAAACCCTGTAACATTAATTCCAATAATTCCTAATTACATTCATGTTTTTCACAGACTGGCTGTATTGCATTTTCATTTGAGCCAAATACATGTTTGCTGATATTTTTTGATTTTTGTATTCGTCATGGAAAAAAAAAGATTGTCATCTAATATTTTTTTGTCATAGTTTTCGTTAACGGAATGAACACTTCTCGTAACCTCATCAGAAACCTGTTTGAAGCAGGGAAACGAGGCTGGTTTTGCGTACCTTTGTGCAGGTTGACGAGCGGCTGCAGGATGCCCCTGCGGAAGGCAGCCATGGGGTCCTGCACACAGGAGCGCAGACTGAGCATGCTCTGCAGGTGCGGCTCTTTCAGCAGCAGCTCTCTGAATGCGCTCAGCTGATGCGCTCGGCACAGGAGAGCAGCCACGCTGTGCACAAACTCAGGAACCAGACACGTGTACGTGTTATCAGCCTGACAGTAATGATACGCCACCACCTGCAGAGAACCAGAGACAGAGAGACAGCCTTAGAAACTTCATATTCATCTGATTTACATTTAGAATCATGCAATATTTGCTGTTACTTATATACAATATAATTATATACAACATATATTGCCATATTTATTTATGCAATTGCTCTGAAATGGCTTTTTTAAAATCAGAGGAACAATTATTTCAAACAAACAGTCATTGTAGTCAAGTAGATTCAAAATGTTTAATGACTAACTAGAATACTGTAAAAACTAGTTAAAATAAACAATGCATGCTCTCCACAGTATTTCTAAAAAAAAAAGTTTTTTAAATTAAACAATACACTGTAAATACAGCTGACAACTGAGTATGAACATACTGACAAGAATATCTACAAATAAAAAAAAATGTATTAATATAATGTATTAAAATATATAATATAATATAACTGATGCACAACTTTACAAATATTAAAAGAAAACAAAGGGAACATCTTAAGTAAATTTAGATGAGTGTACAACGATTTTTCCCTGGTTTTTCCTTTTCTGTGGTAAAATAAAATATAAAAAATAAACAATAAATCAATAATAATAAATAAATCAATAAATAAATATATAATAGAGGATAGAAACAATATAATATAATATAATAATGCCATTTTTGGCTACAATGCTGCTGTCATGGTTGCTGACAGATCAAACTCTTTTTAAAACTTTTGGTTTTTATAACAGGGCTGTCACGACTGGCTGCTGAACTGAAGCTCATAACAGAACAGCTTGAGGTCTGTGAGCCCTCGAGGAGCTGCTCTCAATCCATGTTGATCTAACACTGAAGCCCAATATCATGCCACTGTTTGCACTTGATAAATAATGCAGCTCACAAATGAGTCTTTCTGAGCCATCACTGCCATCCAGTCATCCTGCAGCCATAAATGATAAAAGTTCACCAGCCTAATGGATAAAAACACGAGGATCTGAACTCAGATGGACAGAGATCATCAAATGAGGAACTAGTTTGTATTGTATGCACAGCATAAACTGATTTAATCACATCATACACAACTTTACAAATATTAAAAGAAAGCATAAGGGAACATCAGTAGATTCAGACAAGTTTACAGTGATTTTACCATGGTTAAGTGGGACTTCATGCCTAAAAATACCTCTTTTCTGTATTAAAATCACTGTAATGCTCGACCTCAGTTGGCTTATTTCGTAATTCTTTATTCAATTCCTCTCTTGAAAAATCTGACATACCCAAAGGAGGCATCAGATCTAAGAGAATGAAAGTGAAATATTTCTCTGTGAAGTGATGTCCTAACAGCAGAGTTCACCACCACTCACAAGAGAAACACTTACGGAGTGAGGAAACCTGGCAGAGACGGGTGAGACAGCAGGACACCTTCTGAGGGACCCTCTTAATTTGTCCTGATTTATTATTGAAAGCTGTGTTTGACAGATGGGGATATTTCCCATTTGGACAGGTGGGGTTAATAGGAACGACATGCTCCTCACCCTGAGATGAGGTCTGGGAAAAGAGCATCAATCTAAAGCTCCTTCAGGTGGAGGGACCATTAACTCGCTCGCTCGCTTCGAGCCAACACTCCAAAGCACACATTAACTGGCTCAATCTCTTGATTGCTGTGCATTTCCCTCGACCCTTCGACATGCTGATTAGACCATCATCCCGAAGAATTTAGACAGCCAAAGAAATCTTTGGCTTGAGATACTAAGCAGTAACTAAACCAGGAGCAGAACTGGATATTCCGCTTTATAGATCTTTAAAACAATTAATAATTACAACTTTTGGACTCACAAAGTCTACATGTATTCAATATAATATAATATAATATATAATATAATATAATATAATATGCAGTTTAATAATATGGTTTCTTCCTGTCTAAGTAGGCAGTTCTTAGGCAGAATATGTTGAAAGTCAATAGTCTGGTGTGAAGATTGACCGCCTGTGTGTATAATTGCAAACAGGTATTAAAAAGGTATTAAAGAGATAAAGTTAATAAATTCTACATCAACACAGCATCAACTGCAAATACGTGAATTAATCAATCAACAAACTAATTTACTAATCAGCTTGCGCTTATGTGACTGATGCATGCAGGGATTGATTGGAATACACCCAATTTCATTTGCAAAACGCCACACTCATTTGTTAAAAATGTAGCATTATGCTGCAAACTGATTAGTGATGAGCCTCTAATTAAGTGCTTTTGTCTTATCTGTGCATGTGTAATTTGCTGCTGTCTGCTGCGCGATTGCTGTCCCTGAGCCTCAGCGCCCACGTGGCTGCAATTCTCTTTAAATGCGACCAAATGACCACCCTGCTCACCTGTTGCCATGGTAACACGCGAGTGATGGCAGGTCCCCTGGGAAACATGGTTGATACATCATTTAGCTCACATTGTGTTTGACAGAGGACAGCTCGGCCGATTAAGACGGAGACGCACGGAGCTCGACTGAAACCCTAAGCACTGCGCTTCAAGTCCCTGGGAGATGAAATGCAATATTGGATGAGTCTCTGAAGCACACCATGTCTGATGTCACTCGAGAATCTCACGTTGGCATTGAAAGAGTCTGTTTGACAGAGTCTCTCTAAAATAATGCATACCATTACCTTTAGAAAACACAAGCTGTGATGATATAGATCTATCAAATTAATAATACTGTTCGTTGCATATACTAAAATTGGTAACACCAAACCGTCGGCATCTGAATAACTAAAAGCTGCTTAATCAGATAATTGGATGTTTAACCTGTTAATTCACAACCCTCATCTTATGTCATATATTTGTGAGTGAGAGTTTTACTAAAATAAAATAAAATAAAATAATAAACTCTTGGTTGAAAAATACATTTAAAAATAGAGGATCTGTACATAAAATACAAACTTCACATTTTTATTATTGAAGAAAAATAAGATAAAATAAAATAAAATAATCCTTTCATTTAAATGGTAGAGTATCAGTAGAGGTCATGGGTTCGAGTTGCAGGGAATGCAAAAACTTATGTATAACTTGAATGTAATGTAAGTTTCTTTGGATACAGGCATCGGATAAAATAAAATAAAAAATTAATAATAATAGTAGATCTAAACCTTTGGTTCAAGTTCTATATAGAATACTAAATTCATGTTTTTATTGCTGCATAAAAATAAAATAAAATCTTTTTGTTTAAATGGTAGAGTATCGGTAGAGGTCATGGGTTCGTGACCCAGGGAATGCAAAACCCTATGTATAACTTGAATGTAATGCAAGTTTCTTTGGATACATCTGCAAAAACAAATCACACAAAACAAAACAAAACAACTTATAACCAAATAAGTTGTAACCAAACTTCTAACCAAAGCCCTTGGCAATAAATCCTGTTGCTCTATGCATAACGTCTGGTGTGACTGCACCATTAGAACTGCACGAAGAATGTTACACAAAACAATCGTGAAAAAGCTGGATAAATATAGAGGAGGTCACTTAGGGCTGCACGATTAATCGCATGTGATTGTCATGCGCATCTTGTCAGTAAAGCCGGTTCCATGATTAGTAGTAAATCTCCATCACGTGCTTTCAGACAGAGCAGCATTTACTACACAGAGCCGTAGTTCACTGACAAGCTAGGCAATATCGCGTTCATAATCGCAGACGATATAATCGCGCGATAATGAAATCGAAGAAATCGTTCTGTGATTATGAAAGCTGTTTGTGTAGCTTCTCAGTGAACTACGGCTCTGTGTAGTAAATGCTGTTCCATCTAAAAGCATGTGAAAATACCACATTTAATAACATGTTTTTACTCCAAACTCACTTCATAACGTCAGCCGAGTGTTTGAAATAAATCCTTCAGTGAGATGATGTGGCTTCTTACACAGAATAAAGCACGCAACATATTTCATAGTATTCTAAGCAGCGATAAAGGCTATGTCGATTAGCATTGCATTATTATATACTTTATTATAATAAACATTATAATAAGATAAACTCAGATAAACCATATATTGTCGTAGTCGTGTGTTTATTAGTCAACGTTGAATCGATTAAAGCAGTTAAATCTTCTGTTTATTCAGCAACCGCTATAGGGATTTCCTGGAGTTCTTCTGCGGAGCGTATTTGAAGTTTACTACTAATCACAGAACCGTGCTTCACTGAGAGATACACATGACAATCGCAGCTTCTGTCTAATCACGATTTATTGCCTTTGCGATTTAATTTTGATTAATCGCGCAGCCCTAAGGTCACTGAACCAGTACTAGTTTAGTTATTCAGAGATTTAATGCAGAGATCGTGACTTCAGCAGCCACTGAGAAGAAGAAAGAGGGTCTTTGGGTTCACGGCATCTCAACTTCAGTCCTCTGCATTTCAAAAGGCTGAAACACGCCGTTCCAAACAACAGCACTGGCATCGCTCCAGTCCCTCCTCTATGAACTTCAAAAGCAGAATCAGACATATTGAAGCAACACATCCTAAGAAACACAAGACGGCATCGCCGGGATTCTCTCGCTTCAAACAACGAGCGCTAATGAGCAACCTAAGACTGCATTCACAATGCAGGACCTGCAGCACAGATACAATGATTTCACATATTTATGATTCTTTTCGACCAGTTGAACAAATCAACCTGCATCACACAATGAATAGGTCAGGGGAGTAAATAAATCTGCTATATAAATAAATCTGTCCAGTGGGAATAGAATAACCGGCTCCCAACACATTTGTAATTGTAATGATAGGAAGATAAATTACTGTACTGTAAGAAATTCAACTCTTTGCGTTCATTTATTAAACATGTTGAAGGATTACAAACATGTTAAACTACATACAAACTTAAAACACATGTTTGGGGGTCAGTAAGACATAAAAAAAAAAAAAAAGAATACTTTTATTCACCAAGGATGCATTGATCAAATTGATCAAAAGTGTCAGTAAAGACATTTATAATGCAGCAAAGGATTTCTATTTCAAATAAACACTGTTTATTTGAATTTTTTTTCATCAAATAATAAAACAATTACA